TGTTGTCTCTATGCCATTAGTCATTTATGTTTCTCAATTATCTGTCAGTTTATTATCTATCAGTCAGCTTGATGCCTCCGATTTTGATGTTATCTTTTCTTCTTCTATCTGTTATGTGCAGGATCGGATGTCTAAGCAGCAGATTGGAATTGACCATAGAGTTGGAGACCTCTATGTGGTGAAGAGCTTGCATCTGCCTATGACAACCTCTCTAACTACCTTTTTCTCTTTTCAGTTAGATTCGCTATCTAGTCCTTTCTACTTGTAGCATTCTAGATTATGACATTTGTCTGCTGACAGCTTACAGTCTTTAGCTCAATCAGGTATATTGGGTAAAGTTTCTCATAGTGAACTTACTGAATGTCAGGAGTGTAAACTTGTCAAAATGAAAGGCTTACCTTTTCGTAAAAGTATTTCTATATCTAATACACCGTTTTCTTTAGTTCATCCTGATGTTTAGGGCCCTTCTTCTGTTCTCACCAAAGAGAGTTCTGCATACTATGCGTCATTTGATGATGACTGTATCCATTATACTTGGGTTTATCTTATGACTCATAAGTCCGATTTCTATCAGATATATGGTACCTTTCAGTCTATGATTACTACTCAGTTTGGGTCTACAATTAAAGTGTTACGGTCTGACTTAGGTGGGGAATATTTTAAAAATGAGATCTATGAGTATTTGGCCAATTTAGGTACCATTCACCAAACTTCTTATACAGACACACCTGCCCAAAATGGTCGCGCCGAGCGTAAACACCGTCATCTCCTTAAAACAGCTATGTCTCTTTTTCTCTTCACCTCAGTTCCAGCTCCATTTGGAGGGGAGGCAGTTCTTACTGCTGCTTTTCTTCTCAACCGCATACCTACTCCTCTTCTTTCTGGTCGGTCTCCTTATGAGGCTTTATTCTCCCAACTTCCTAATTACTTCCTCCTTCGTGTGTTTAGGTCTGCCTGTTTTGTCCTTTTTTCCCGCAATGATTGGACCAAACTTAGTGCCTGATCTGTCCTATGTGTCTTTTGGGGTTATAGTCATACTCAGAAAGGCTATTGGTGTTACGACCCTGTTTCCCGTCGTCTTTATGTCTCCTATCATGTTTCTGTTCTTGAACATCTATCTTACTTTCAGCTTCCTCCTATCACTGCTTCGGTTTCCAAAGAGGATTTAGTTCATATTGATCCATTTCCTTCTAAGGTTCCTCCTAATAAGTACATCTCTATTGTTCCCTATGAACTTCTTCCCTCTTCTCCTCTTACCACCCCTCCTGCTGAGTCTTTCTCTATTGAACCCCATGAATCTGTTCCATCTTCTCCTCTTTCTCCTCAGCTTGCTCCTTCTCCTCCTTCGTTGTTAGTTTATTCTCGTCGTAAAGCTCTCCCTCCACCAATTGTCTCTACGCCTGGTTCTTCTGCTTCTGAAGACTCTGATTCTGCTGCACACCGATATCCTACTCAAGAGCGTCATCCTCCAAACAGGTTGGGTTAGTCTCATACATATTTTTCTGCTTCCTATCGTACTTTTTTGTCAGCTATTCATTCTCTTTCAGAACCTCAGTCTTGCAAGGAGACCTGTCAGGATTCCAATTGGATTCAAGCTATGGAGGATGAATTGTTTGCCTTGTAGAAGACTAACACTCGAGCGTTGGTTCTGTTGCCTGCTGGCAAGAATCTGGTTGGTTGCAAATGGGTCTATAAAGTCAAGACTCATTCTGATGGTTTTTTCAAGCGGTACAAAGCTTGCCTAGTTGCCAAGGGTTTCTAGCAGGAGTATGGTATTGATTATGAGGAGACCTTTGCCCCTGTTGCCAAGATGACTACTGTCCGTACCTTGATTTCGGTCGCTGCTATTCGACATTGGCCTCTCTATTAGATGGACCAGTGTTTTAAAAAGCCCTAGGCGAATCGAGGCGCCAAGGTCACTTGGAGCCTAAGCCCCGAGGCGCGAGGCGAGGCGCGCGCCTCACCAAAGCGAAGCGCAAGTTATAGGAGTTAAGCAAAATATTAATAAAGCACAATTTTCAACATAAACAAATATTTAATATGTATATTATTAATTTTTTTAATAAGAAGAAAAAAAACAATTAATTTTTTAATATATATATTATTTTATTTATTTATTATATTTTTTAAATAATGCGTTTTAATTAATTTTTTTATTTTATTTTATATATATGTTATATATTATATAATAGGTATTATATAATATTATATATATATATATGAATTAAGAAGATAAAGGGAGAGACAGAAGACAGAGAGAGATAGATCGCCATCGCGAGAGAGAACGCGAGAGAGAGAGAGAGAGAGAGCGATCGCGAGAGAGAGAGAGAAAGAGAGCGATCGCGAGAGAGAGAGAGAAAGAGAGCGATCGCGAGAGAGAGAGAGAAAGAGAGCGATCGCGAGAGAGAGAGAGAAAGAGAGCGATCGCGAGAGAGAGAGAGAAAGAGAGCGATCGCGAGAGAGAGAGAGAAAGAGAGCGATCGCGAGAGAGAGAGAGAAAGAGAGCGATCGCGAGAGAGAGAGAGAAAGAGAGCGATCGCGAGAGAGAGCGATCGTGGCGAGATAGAAGCGAAAAGAAGACAACGAAAGAAGGGAAGGGAAGAGAAGAGAAGACGAAGACGAAGGGAAGAAGCAGAGAGAGGAGAAGAAGCAGAGAAGAGAAGAAGAGAGCAGAATCTGTTGGAGTGGAAGAAAGCTGAAGCGCACAAGGCGCTCGCCTTGCGTTTCGTAATAAGGTGCTCGCCTCATCGCCTAGGCAGCGCTTCCTCTGTGTCGCCTCGCCTCACCATGACTGAGGCGCAAAGCTGTGCCTTGCCTCGCCTTGAGCTTAGGCGTGCGCTTTTTAAAACACTGAGATGGACGTTAAGAATACTTTTCTTAATGGTCATCTCACTAAGGAGGTCTACATGCGTCCACCCCCTGGCGTTCTCCACTCCTCTGGGCAGGTTTGTCGTTTTCGACGTGCTTTGTATGGTTTGAAGCAATCTCCTTGTGCTTGGTATGATCACTTTTAGACTGTTGTTATTGCGCTTGGGTTTCATCTTTCTGCTTCTAACTCTGCTTTGTTTCTAAAACATACCTCGATTGGTTTTGTTACTCTCTTACTATATGTGGATGATATGATTATCACTGGCTTTGACTCTTCTGCTATCTCTGAGGTCAAGCAGCATTTCTTCTGCACCATCAAAATGAAGAATCTGGGTCCATTGCGGTATTTTCTTGGTATTGAGGTTGCTTCTTCTCCAAAGGACTACTTTCTGTCTCAGGCTAAGTATGCTAATGAGGTCATTCACCGTACTGGTCTTACTAATACTAAGGTTTCTGATACACCAATGGAGCTCAATGTAAAGCTCAACTCTACTGATGGTGTCTCTCTGGACGATCCCACTTCATATCGCAAGCTTGTGGGTTGTTTAGTTTATTTGACTGTCACTCGCCCTGATTATGCTGTTCATGTGGTTAGTCAATTCGTTTTTGCACCTGGCTCTACACATTGAGCTGCTTTGGTTCGCATTCTTCGCTATCTCAGAGGTACTATCTTTCAGGGCTTACTGTTATCCTCTACTTTCTCTTTGGACTTGGTAGCCTATGTTGATTCTGATTAGGCTAGTGATGTTATTGATCGCAAGTCTACGGCTGGATTCAGTATGTTTCTCGGTGATTCCTTGATCTCTTGGAAAAGCAAGAAACAATCAGTTGTTGCCCGATCTACTGCCGAAACTGAGTATTGTGCTATGGCTCATGCCACTGCTGAGATTGTTTGGCTTCGTTGTCTCCTGTCTGATTTAGGTGTCCCTTAGTTTTCTCCGACCTCTCTTTATTGTGACAACCGCAGTGCTATTCAGATTGCCCACAATACTGTTTTCCATGAACGAACAAAACACATTGAGATTGATTATCGCTTTGTCCAATAGTATCTGCAGTCTGGCTCTATCTCACTTCCTTTTGTCTCTGTAGCTTTGCAACTTGCGGACTGCTTTACCAAGACTCACACTACCGCTCGGTTTCAATTTCTTCTTAGCAAACTCTCAGTGTTTTTTGCTAAAACACCTTGAGTTTTAGCGGGGGTGTGAGAATATATTGTGTATATTCCATATTTAGCATGATTTTGGTTGTACATATTATAGGCATGATTGTGTATAGGCGTGATTGAGGTGTGATTGTATTTTCCTTTTTTGGTTTAGGAGTTAAGGCTATATAATCTAGGGTCTTGTTGTAATCCAACACAATTGAATATACAGTTTCATTCAGAAAACTTACAATTAGTACCATACCATTGCTTCATAACCTATCAAAGAAAGGTTCCAAATCAAGTCACGCATTGTCTACCCAACAAAAGCTATATGGCCGATTATTTTTTAATAGGAAAAATGCTATGTTACATAGACTCAGGTACGGGTGTCGGGTACGGATATGTATCTAGAGGTTGGACTCGTCAAGCTATAAATTTAAGAGTACACAGACTCGGTAAAAAAATGTCATATTTTTATATTTTTAATAAAGTATGTGAGATAAAATGGTGTTATATGTAACTTACAGTGTCAAAAAGACATTTCTAGTAATTATACAACAATATGTACATATAATAATAGTGTTATATACAATTATATAAGAAGTGTCTGTTGAAAAGTATCCGACACATATCCCATACCCTTATCCGAGTATCGGGTGTCCGACACGGGTATTTGGTTTATTTTGAAGAGTCCGTGTAACATAGAAAAAATGACATGGTGCTTTGGTCATAGTTGTTTTCATCACATAGGGTAGGGTGGCTCATGGCAGAAAACTTAGGTAAACTGGGTTCAATAAGTACGGCAAAGCAACGGGTTAAAAAATTTCATGGGAATATAATCATGTGAAATATATAGAAAATAACATATTCAAGCATATGAAATTTTATCTAACATACTATCAACATGACGAAAGCAGAATCCAGTTTGAAGAGAAAGCTAATATAACCAATTCATTGGGATGCTTGAAATGAAATATTTGGATCTTACCGGCACATCTTTGTATTTTTTCTCCAAAAACTCTAGATCTGGCAGTACATGCATACAATTTATACAGCAGTAGGTCCAAAAATCCAGAAGAACCACTTTTCCTTTCAAATCCTGTTCAAGCATAGAATTAACTTCAAATGCAAACTATATTGGAATGTTGGTTGCACTACATATAGCTGTATCCTACAAAACTTTGGGGAAAATGTGGCAAATACAGTTGACATGTGAGCTAACTGATTTTATGACCAGGAAATATATCTTAAGTAATTTTCTTCCATATCTTATCTAATTTTCTGTCCATCATGTTCATCTTTTCCTAACAATAGCATCTTAATAAAGGTTGGTATGGAAGAAAAATAAAAATAAAATAAGGAAAATATGTATGATTTTATTTTAAGCAAATTAAACACTATCGTACGATGAATCAAGAAGTCAATACCATAAGGTAACCCATAGTACAAGGAACATTTCAACTAGACATCAAGTATAGCGAAAGCTCATGGCCAGCCCTGAACAATGACCCACATGCTTGTTTGCACAGGTCAGTTTTGATACCATTTATAGCGCCCCATCACCTGTTACCCCAAGTAACCTATAGGTCTAGCAATATGACCCAAAAGACTAACCCTAAGATATGTAGTAGCACACTAGTGGTACCTTATATACCCAAGATCACCCATGCCAACTTCCTGAAACAGGGTCGTTACATCAAGACCATAACCCAAATGACCACATGTAGATATACAAATGCAAGATAATAGAGAATGAAGGGAGACCACACAAGGGAAGTAAGGAACCTAAACAATCCCACATTATAAAAATCAGGCCTAGCAGAAATTTGAAACCAGATAATGGACTTACCCTGCTTAGCTTTAGGGGAACGGTATTTAGCCAATCAAGTTTTGATGGAAACTCTGGCACAATACGAGCAGTTCCCCTTACAAAAATAAAAGATCACACATTAACAACAGATTACGGGCAAAAGTGGAATGCAATTATGAAGTATATGCAACAAAAGGAAATGAGGGAAATATAGAAAAATAAATATGTAAAATACATCAGATGAAGGTGAAGCAGGGGACTCGCTGACCTGGTTTCCAAATCAGATATATAGTTCACAAATTGTTGAACTCTAGCAGAACGGGATACACCTGTAACCAGTAAAAACAAAAACATCACAATTCCTCTATTGTTACTACAAGTGCCAGTGAACAGAACAACTGAATAATGTATACAATCAAAAAAACTATTATTCTCCCTTTATATATATGCACATATATATTTAATAAGTAAACTTCTATATAGTATGTTAACAGCAATAAAAAACCATTGACAATATCAAAGAGAAATAGAAGGGGAAAAAATAGAAACAAGAGAGGAGGAGAAAAGAAAAGATTGCACCAACACATTTGAAGAGTATAAAATGCAAGAAATGTTTCATTACAAACATCAGTACCTTCATTCTGTTGAAAAGACGGAGTGCTAACTCCAAATAGCGAATTCCACAAGGCCTTTGGAGATGTATATTGCATTGCCTGCAAATCAATAGCAACTTCCAAAGACATATTATGGAATAAATTAATAAAAGTATGTCTCTCACTCAATAAGGGAAAAAAGAAGAAAACTGAGTCCAAAGACAACCAAAATGGATAGATCTTCAAATGTTCTTTTTATCACATACTCATTCATACCTTCCAGTTAGTAATAGTGAAAACGAGACAAGAGATAGCAATGCCCAAACTTCCATATCTTAAAATATCTCGCCTTGAACCCTGCAATCTGTCCATAAATTATTTCTGCAACTGCAAGCTAATGTTGTTAAATTAAATTCCGTTAAAATAAGCTGAAAAGGGTACATACACAAGGGACATGCACAAAAATATAAAAATTTATATATTTATTATATGCCATAAATCTAAATATTTCATTTAAAGATAATGAAATAATGTAACATAACACCACCTAAAATTAAACAACCACATTCCGTAGCATAACAATCACAGACTAATAGTTATAATTAGAGTAGGCATCCTATAACATGACAATTACATTAAAATCTCATTAGGGTATCTTACTTACAAAATCAAAATAAAAGTAAAAAATTGTACAATCAATTAACATATTTTTTAATTAAAAATCAAGTTCACTAACCACACACACACACACACCAAAAACAAACACTAATTGTTTACTTTGGCCTCCACTTGAACTTTTTTAAAATTTCATTTTGACCCCTAAGCATGCTTTGTGTCCATAACATGCCCCCAACATTTCCATAGCATGTCCCCAATGTGTCCGAGCAAACAAAAATAGGACACGCCAATTCGGGTGTCCAACACAAGTGTTACCAAAAAATGCTAATACCTTAGCGATTTACATTTTGGAACACACATTTCGAAATATGGTACAGTTTCGTTCCAAAATGGTAAATTTGGCAATCCAAAGTGATTTCAAAAGTTTGTTCCAATTAAGAGTAAAAAATATCAAATATAATCGACTAAAATATAAGGTCAGTGAAATTTTAACATGACAAAACATAAAAAATTAGTCATGATGTTCATAAAAATGTGTTGCCATATGATTAATTTAGGAAAGAAAAAAAAAAACCAACATTTTATTGGAAGTCTAATTGTTAAAAAAAATTCTCTACACTAAAAGTACCTTAAATTTTATAGTGTAAACTATACAAGCCTACCCCTATTGTACCACAATTTAGAGCATATGACATACCACGTTCCCATTCCCGTTCCAAGTACATAGGTTGGACCCCAACATGTTTCCAATGCAGGTGTCTGACACATGTCCATTATGTCTATGTTCAATGCATGTCGAACACTGGTACATGGCCTTCGGAGAGGTGTCTATCCTTCATAGAGGCTAATTTTTTTTAAGATGGGTTTTAGATTCTTTTCTTAAGCTTAGCTTTTTTTCAAGCTATAATCAACTCTCTCTCTCTTTTTAAGAGCAACAAACAACCTATAAGTTCATGTGATGTGCCCCTTTTACTAAGTTGAAGATAGATGAAACTCAGAGAATGTGTGTGGACAACAGGGATATTAACAAGATCACCATAAAATACAGGTTTCCAATACCCAAATTAAATGATATGCTTGACATGCTATCAGGTTCTCAGGTTTTTCTCCAAGATAGACTTGAAGAGTGAGTACCACCAGATTAGAATTTAAAAAGAGGATGAATGGAAGGCAAGCTACAGGACAAAGAAGGGGCTTTATAAGTCATTGGTTATGCCATTTGTCCTTTCAAATGCACCAAGTACTTTCAAATGAACCAAACAGTCCCCTATCATGTCATACCAATGGTGAAACTCATGGGTCTATTGGCGTAGTCCACATGGCTGTTTTGCTTTTTCCTCCTCCAAGCATAGATTCCGAGAGGCCAATCCCCATTAGAAAAGGTTAGAATATTGAGATTCAATCCCTTGGAGTAGTTTTATATATAGCAATGCAATGATGACTGTCAGAATATGCCTAAAGAAACATTAAAGGCAGGTGACAAATTTAGTGCCTTCATAGGATATACTTTTTTTCACCCAATTTGCCCTCGACTCCAAAAAGTCCCTACTTAGGTGTTAGTTGGAGTTCAAAGATCCTATGTAAAGATTATTCTTTCACAACAGCTGTCTAATATGGACTGTGATTGAGCAATCCAATTGTATATTTATTCACTGTGATAAGTGTCACCAGATTCACAAGGTGTTCACTATCAAATTAAAGCTTCTGACTGATTTTTCCTGGTCAAACAAGTGAACTCCATGCAAGTAATAGGAAAACAAGGGATGACATTTGACGTTAAATAAAAGGATGGTTTATTAATCAAAATTATTTGATTGAATTATTCTGGACATAGAATCTCTCTTACCCTCCAATTGAAAAGGCCATATCATTTGCAGAATTTGTATCTGGGAATGACCTACTCTCTGTTCTGTCTTTGAGCAATGCTGGTGAAGTTTGTGCAGAAGAATTAACAAACTGGGACCCTTGCATCTTCTCATCTGCAATGGGTTGTCCCATCAGACCTCATCTTGCCAGATAATGTGTAATCCTAACCATTACCAAGTAAATAATCGGTAGGAGAATCAAACTGTTAGAGTGAAATGTAAGTTTCCCCTGCCATCACACAAGAAGTACAAACTAACAATTACGGAACCATTTTTTTTTTTATTATTATTATTATTATTTTATAAGTCATTACAAAGCCAATTAATTGGCAAGGAAGAATAAAAATTCAGCAAAAAAGAAAAGACAAACTTCCAATAATTAGAATGCAGATGACACGAAAAACAGTTCTTACTTATATATCGTTCAGAAATGACACAAAATGTAGCTTCATTATCCTGATTATTAATAGTACACATAAAGGCATTTGCAGTATACTTGTAGAACTACATACTATGGCAACCTGAGCCACCACTGAGAATGTCATCAAGTGAAACACTTCCTATCTCCTGTCTGATAAGTGATGGACTAGCCGTTTTTAGAGTCTCTTCTGATAAAGTTGTTGTAACAGCTATACATCTGCAAGAAGAACAAAATTGTTACTATTAAATAAAAGAAATATAATTCATGGAAAAAGGGCAGAGAATCAGAAAATTATTACTGTAACATTTATATGATGAGTGGATACATAATCCACAAGAAAAAGAGATTGTCCAACTCAAAATCATATGTTGTTATATTGAAATTAAACATAAATATCCAATACACAATAAGTAAGGTCATAAAATGCATGTAGTACAGCAGATTTACCTCATTTGAGCCGCTTTGGCAGCTTGCACACCAGCTAATGCATCTTCAATAACAATACACTGGGAAAATAAATGCACGAAATTAATACTCTGATATTACTAAAATTGCAGTTGGTCGGACAGAAAATTGATCAATCAGCTACAGTGTTCAAAATGTTAGAAGTCCAACTGCTGAACTGATTAACTTTTCATCAAAATTTCCTGAATAAAACAAGCTGGATATTTTTTATAATAAAAGAAACATTAGGTACACACTCCCTAATTGTATGTCCATGATAAATCCTACTATATGGAGATGATCTTGTAAACTTTTTTCAATTGAAAAATAATAATAATATTAATAATAATAGTCTTCATGTTTTTGCTGGCAGGTCAACCAAGAGAAAAATTTCTCAATAAATGAAGACTATGAAGCACATGCACTTCAAATTAATCACTGCAGATGTGTGCAGGACCGGCTCTGACTTTTCCGGTGCCCAAAGCGAAACCTAAATATGGGGCCTTTCATATATATTTTTAAAAAAAAAGTTTTGACCAAAAGATTATGTATCGAATTTTGTTTTAAATTTTTGCATTTAATAGTGCTCACAAAAAAACTATTAAAATTTACTTAAATATACGACAAAGTTTACAATAATAAAAAAGACTAAAATATAAGCTGGAGTACCAAATAAAAAGTAAACTAAGTCTTCTATTCTTTGTTTCTTTTCTTCAATTTTTTTTTCATGTCCAAAATTATACTTTCTAGGAATAGTGACATGTTTGATATAGTTTATCAAAAATTATTGACATCATCATAATGCTAACTTAATCCTCAATCATTACAAATCAAATAATCAATGAAAGGAAACATAAAAGATAATAAAAATATGTAATCGTAATAGACACTATATATAATCAATGATCAAATAAATATTTAATCAAACAAAAACAAGAATTCATCTCTATTACGGAGTTTGTATCGTGAAACCCAATTTTACATTACAAATTTAAGACTTTCCATCATTGTAGAACAAATAAAAAAATAGAAAAAATAAAATAAAAAATTTATCAATACATAAAAAGGTAAGAAATTTGATAGTTCTTCAATTAGTTTTTTAAAAATATATATATATATATATATTAGATGAATACTTCTAATTCTTATTGCTGACAAGAACCAACCGGTAAGTTAAAAACTTTGAATTTATTATATGTTTGTAATTATATCTCAAATGTCTTTCAAATATAAATTGAGGCTTTTTATTCAGATTGGGCCTCTTCTTATAAGAAACTTTAGATCTTTTTAACTCAAGCGGACCTTTTTTTCTGGACCAGTACAATACTTACTATAGTTTTGGGGCTTTTTTTTTTGGCATTTTTGGGGGGCCCAAAGCGACTGCTTTGTGGGCTTTGCCCCAAAGCCGGCCAGTGACATGTTTCATAGGCTAACACACTTCAGACAGGCCGGGATGAGTGTTAGACACGCCACATGGCATGTCTACTCTTTTTTCTCATTTACCATGTTGGGGACACATCACGAACACCCGTGTCCTACCTCCAGATGCACTCTAGGATAAATTTTATTTGTGATTATTTATTTTTTACGAATGATCTATTTACTTTTAAATTAAATGCTTTTGCCATTTGTGACATAATTATTTATGATTTATAAAACAGTATTTTGTATGTTGAATTGAATGATGTTTATAGATTGAGTTGTTTTTTCATGGTGAGTTAATTTGTTTTCATTACTGTTGGTTGTTGTCAATTTATTATTCACATACATAGCAAAAATTTTATACATAAACAATATATTTTTTTATGTATCACCACCATGTCCATGTCCTACTTTTCTGAAAATCGTCGTCCCATGTCCGGTGTTAGTATCCGCATCCATGACCATGCTTCTTAGATAAAGACAATGTGCAACTTCAATATCAGTCATATAGAATAAGTCTTTCAGGTGCGTAAGAAATACTATTGCAATAGCTGTCTCTAAGAAGACAAATCTGCAAATATACCTCACTAGTGGGCACATTCAAAATCTTTGAGGCAGCCAAAAAAATATCAGGAGCAGGCTTCAAATTCTCAAATGCATCTGCTGACACAATAGCATCAAACCTGGTAAAAGTAGACTACAAAGCATCACAACGTCTGCACAACAAGAATTACAGTTATCTTAAGCAAATAACTACTTTAGTGACATCTTAAATATGCATATAGGAAAGAACTGCTATTGCAATTCCTTTGAGCAAATTTCCCAAATTTGCAATATCCTACCATTCTTGCTCTTTTGATCAAATAGTATTATCTGTCTTCTAAATGTGTGCCCCTTACATTACTCACCCAGGATTTTTCCTTCATTGAATGGCCTGAAATAATTGATATCTACTCACTTTGTTTATTAAGGACAAGTGACACACCCAGCAAACAAGTTAAGATGTTCAGATATGACAATGAGAGGAATTCAGCCATAGTTCCATTTTCTGCAAGAGTCATAGACTTGTGAACATCTTTTTTGCCATAAGACCGAATATGCAAGGTATGAAGACAAATTACATATTTAAGGATTTTCACAAAACCAGATAAGTTTATTTCTTAAGTAATTCACACAATCAAAAAAACTGTAAATGTCGCATCCTGTGTCAAAAAGTTTCAAATGCATTCAGCATGCCTCCATGGGTATGTTTTTCTAGGGTTAAATAGTATACCATATAAATAAAATTCATAAAAAAGTGTAAACTTAACAATGTCCATATAAATAAATCCTATAGAGAATCATTTAGATCCATCAAAATCAGGAACACATGTCTTTTATGATTAGATGGCATTTGTCAATTAAAATATATTACTTTAGAGAATTAATTGATTGACTTTCTATCATCCTAGACCAAAACATATTGATTAAACTCTACATAAATAGGAGTTCACATTGTATATGGTTTGGTTTGTAAGAATAGTGATCCTTGTAACCACAGGTAACATGAAGAATTGAAACAACTAAGACCTTGTTTGTCATCCCCTAAAAAAGTCAAAAAGTCATTATCCTATTTAAGTCACATCATTTTATTTAATTTACATTACCTCTCTACCACATCACTTCAAACCCAATCCATACCCAACCCATATTTCATAAAAAGTCAAAAAGTGCACTTATTTAAAACATCCCAAACAACCCCTAAATTCAGATATTTAGAAATTATATACTAATGTACTAGACCATAACAATCGACTATGTTTATATTGAAAAAGGTTAACAAAAAACAGATTTGGTTTGAAGGTATAGTCTAATTTAAAAGACAATGAATGATGTTGGAAATTTCAATTTCTAGGCACAATCCAAGACTGACACACATATTCAACCTTGTAAAATATTTTCTTAAGTTTCATGGCATTTTTCCATATGATTTGTATACTTAAACTCGCAAATTTGTATTTTCTAAAAAAATAATATTAAAAAATAAAAATAAAATACAGAACAAGAAGGAAGATAATGACACTAAGCACATCCATATTTCAATACTTGCGCATTTTCTCCCACATGACGTAAAATATGGCCTTTGCCTTCAACAGAAACCAAAGCTTAAAACACAATTCCATATATTCAACACAAATTCAACAGAAACCAAAGCTTAAAACACAAATTCAACTAGGTATATTTTAAAAACAAAATAACAAGACGAAGAAAAAAAACACAATTCCATATATTCAGAGCATTGTTCCCCAATCAAAACATAGAGCAATACTTTCTGTACAGACTGGCATCAAAATACGCCACTTACTCACAAGTTTTTTTTTTTTTTTTTTTACAGCCGCAACACAAGTGGTGATCTGAACAAAAGGTTCTCTGAGGACATTAAAAAGGTCATTCTATTTGTTCCAGACAGTCACAGACTCACAAAGTTAAGAAGTATGAACTCTAACCCATTTTATAAGCACTCCTAGATGACGTAAGCCTAGACCAACAAATGTTCAACTATTTGTGAGAATTGAACTTACAACAAAATTTTATTTATCAAAAAAAAAAACTTACAACAAAATTTTATTTTCTCTATGAGAGAATTGAACTTGGAACAGTTTGCAATCATATTTTTTTTTTATAAATATACATGCTCTCACTATGAAATGATTGAATGTCAAGCAACAATAAATTTTAAATATTGATCATGGTAACACAGTGCTCGTGTAGCAACATATCAAGAAGTGTTAGCTGGAGACTATGGTGTTTAAATTTACTTCATACACTTGTAAACCATGACATATGATTATATTAGCTTACATAGACACTGGCAAACCAGCAGCTGCCAAATTTGCGTCGACCTTGATGCGGTCTGCACTAGATGCAACAGCAACTTTAAGCCCCTTGCTTTTACACTGTTGTACAACAATATAATATTGTAAACACTTAATGCAGAAGGAAAGTGGTAGTATCAGGAAACTTCAAAGTCAGTGTCATTCATACCTGATTAATGAGTTCAAAGGCACCAGGGAATCCTATTCCAGAATTTGGCTTTGCATACTACAAGTAATACAACTTTAGGGGTCAGTTCCATGCTAAAAACTGAAATTAGCACCACTTGAACATTGTTTTTCTTTCCATTTTTTCAAAAAATAAAACTAAAAGAAAACCAAACATGACAGTTAAATAACCTTATCTAGATATATCTCAAAAAATCTTTTCTTTGCTGCCCCAATGTTGAATCCTTCAACACCTTTCACAGAAGCTACACCTCCTAAAAAGTTTGCTTCACCTAGTTCAAATGCACAGAAGTAAGAAACGACTACACGACAAATGAAAGGTAATAAAGAAAGTAAGAAGTTCTGGCAGAAAAAAGAAATCGTTACTGTGCAACTTAACAAACCACAATACTGAACTATCACAAATATAATTACTTATAGATGAGTTCTCTAAGTTAATATTTTTTCTCTTTTGAGATTGCATAATTACATTCAGTTGTCAGTTGTCAATTTTGGCACATCTCTTTTTTACTTTGTGAGGGAATTTTATCTTTCATCCCTTGCTTTTATTTATTTATTTTTTCTCCTTCAAACTCATGAAACATGTAGACTTATAAAATAGAAATGTGTTCTAAAAAAGTATATTTATTTCCTATCACCTTTAAAAATGCACCCCAACAGTGATAGTTCATGTGCAACCATGAGATGTAACCAGTACATCTCCAAATGGTATAAACTCCAAGGCATCCTACTGTCTTTGGATCGTGGATTTGACTAGGCATTTGGAAAGGGAAAGGGAAAGGGAAAGGGAAAGGGACAGGTGAAATCCCTTTCCAAATTCATGACCTGAGAGAAAATAAAAGAAATGGTGTCTCTCATCTACGTAAATTGTGTTTTGCACTATCCTGTTTAGATGGGTTACAAAGCAAATTATCTGATATAGGGATATGGGTGAGATTTCTTTTCCTTCCTTTGTATTTTGATAGGTAATCTTGGTATTATAAAAAAGGGAAATTCTAATATACACACCCTCAGAAAAAGTGTACCATATGCACCCTAGTTATGCCAATTTTTTTATTTAGTTATGATCAATTTTTAGTTACGACTCATGAGTTTTTTATTTATGCTTGATGCTGTGTTTAGTTATGACAATTTTTTTTTTTTTTTGTTAGGACTTAAAAAGTATAAAATTATGATATTTTATTCTTTAGTTATAAACGGCATATATAGTGTTTCCCTATTAAAAAAAAAATAACAAATCTAATCAGCTTATTTCTCACCAAATCTCACCACTTTTTGTCAGATGAGAAGTTGTCTTTCTCCCCATTTCTCATCATTCCTCACCAAGCTTTTAAACCAAACATGAGAAAAGAGTTCTTTTTTTCACTTTATTACTTATCATTTCTCACCAAATCAAATTATCCAAAGGGACTGTGTGTAATTGGAGATTAATTGATAACTGAATTAGAGTCAGAGCTATATACCAGTGCCCATGAAAGGCACGAAGTCCTCGACCGAAACTTCGACCCCCATTTCAGCAAACACATCAACTGCAGCCATTCTCGACGGCTCTTCGCTGTTACAGAGCACTCCGTCCATGTCGAACAACACCGCCGACACTTTCCCCCACTCGATTCCGGTCTCCAGAACATTCTTCTCCTCCAATTTCTCACACGCCCTAGGCGTCACCACCGCACTCCGCCGCCGAGGAAACGCCAGGCTTCTCGGCCGCCATTGAAGCAGAGAGCTAGGTCTCGAGACCAATCTCGAGCTGTAGAAGAAAGTAGTGAGTTTTGAATGAGAAGATGAGAGAGGTTGTGAGGACAATCTCAGCGCCATTCTCTCTCTCTCTCTCTCTCTCTCTCTCTAAAACTGTGAGTGTTTGTTTCTCTCTCTAAAAACTGAATCTGTATTGCGTGTGGCGGGGAAGGATTTGCAGTTATATTGAATTTGGAATGACGATATTGCCCTTTCGGATTTGCTTTGACATGCCATTGTTTGTTATTTTGTTATTTCTCTCGCGGAGGATATTAGAGTATTTTAGGCTCCGTTTGGTGGAGTTTTTAAAATCTAGTTCCACACTCACTTTTGAATATGGTGTTTGTTTAGGGTTTTCAAATCATAATTCTACACTCATTTTTCAAAACTCAATTCAAAACATAATCATTACTTTTCAAAACTCATAACCAAACACATAATTCAAAACTCCATTCAAATCAATATTTTAAAAATATTTTAATTTTGTTAAGATTTTAAATATTTTTAAAAATAATTTTTTAATTGAGTTTTGTTTTATGTGTTTGGTTACGATTTGAGTGTAGAGTTGTGAAAGTAGTATGGAGTTTCGAGTTATGTGTTTGGTTATGAGTTTTAAAAATAATTTTTTAATTGAGTTTTGTTTTATGTGTTTGGTTACGATTTGAGTGTAGAGTTGTGAAAGTAGTATGGAGTTTCGAGTTATGTGTTTGGTTATGAGTTTTAAAAATAATTTTTTAATTGAGTTTTGTTTTATGTGTTTGGTTACGATTTGAGTGTAGAGTTGTTTTTAAATTTAAAATATTAAAATTTTAAATTATTTTAATTTTTTGAATATTTAAATTATTTAAATTTTTACGATTTAAAATTTTTGAATATTTATTTTAATTTTTTACTTATTAAATTTTTTAGATTATTTAAATTATTTAAATATTTATGATTTAAATTTTTTGAATATTTATTTTGAAAAAAAATTATTTCCTTTGTAGTATTTTCAATTAAAAAATTGATTAATGTTATTTTTTGTTAATAATAAATTTTTTTAATTGAATTTTAAAAAGAGTTTGGTTATGAGTGTTGATCAAAATTTTCAATAATGTGAAAGTAATGTGTTTTGTTATGAGTTATAACAATTTGAATTAAGTTTTGAAAACTCTTTTCAAAACTCATAACCAAACAAATTTTCTTACTTCACATGTCAAATCAAACTTTCAAAACTCAATTCTACACTCAATTCCACACTCAATTCAACACTTTATTCAAAAACCATAACCAAACAAATTTTCTACACTCAAATCATAATTCTAAAACACACAAACTCAAAATACAATTCATATTCTCAAATCATAGTTACAAAGCTCTACCAAACGGAGCCTTAAATTCTTAAGGTAGCATTTGGTAACGTTTACGTTTTTTTGTTTATATTTACAAAAATTTTATAAACTGATTTTTGCTTATTTTTAGAAAAATATAAATTATAAACGCGTTTGGTTTGAACAAAATGTTTAAAAACATAAACTAAAAAATATATTTATTCAGGCCTAAAATATTTATATTTATTTTTATTATTTATCACAATTGGATCACACATATTATAATTGAAAAAAATTTAATTGAAAAAAATTAATTAAAAAAATAATTGAAAAAAAATTTAATTGGGAAAAAAATTAATTGAAAAAAATAATTATTTCAAAAAAATAATTATTTCAAAAAAAAATTAATTGAAAAAAAAGTAATTGAAAAAAAATAATTGAAAAAAAAAATTATTTGAAAAAAAAAACTATTTGAAAAAAAAAATTATTTGAAAAAAAAATTGAAAACGTAAACTCATTTTTTGAGTTTACGTTTTTTTTTCAAATTTATAAACTGAGACAACCATTTATAAACCAAAAAAATTGTCAAACAAGTTTTTATAACAGTTTTTAAAATTTTTGTAAATATAAACTGAAAACAGAATGATTACCAAACAGACCCTAAGGTAGCGTTTGGTAGAGTTTTGTAAATGTGATTTGAGAGTATGAGTTGTATTTTGGGTTTGTGTGTTGTGGAATTATGATTTAAATGTAAAAAATTTGTTTGGTTATGGTTTTTAAATAGAGTGTTGAAATGTGTTTTGAAGATGTATTTTGAATTAAGTTTTGAAAGTTTGATGTGACATGTGAAATAAGAAAATTTGTTTGGTGATGTGTTTTGGAAATAGCTTTCAAAACTTAATTCAATCAATAATTTATAATCAAACACACAACTCATATATCGATATCCGTATTTTTTATCAACAATAATAACCAAACTATTTTTAAAATACTGAAATTAAAAATTGATTTTTTTTCAATTAATTTTTTTTTAGTAATTTTTTTGGAATAATTTTTTTTTTCAAATTTTTTTTTCATTTTAAAATAAATCTATGTCAATTAAATTTTCTATCAATTCATTTTTTACACCTGTACAAACATCTTCTACAATACGTTTTATATATTTTTTTAAAATTTTGTTAAAGTGAACAACTTTTGAGAATACATATTAATAAAAATTAACATAAATACACTAAGTGTAATATTTTAAAATACAAATCATAACGTAAACCTTACAAAACATTATCAATTTTTTTTCTCATTTATTACACGTTATTAATTTAGTAATTCAGTATACGGATGTAATATTATTAAAAAATTATTAATATTATAAAAAAATAATAGATAAGACATAAAAAGTAAAAATAAAAAATAAAAAACAACCTGAACCTTCTGAACCTCAGCCTTTCTATAAAAAAAATAAAAACAACCTGAACCTTCTGAACCTTAGCTTCAGATAGTCGAAGAGCAGGAAGTCGGACCGGGACAACCGTGAGGTCATCCGGCCGGTCATCCCATCTCATACCTCCCACTCAGTTTCCTATCAGATAGTCGAAGCTTCCATGTCTGATGTTTGATACAGAGAAGAAATATGAGGTTCACTCGAAATTTTCAGATACTATGGAAAAAGACATGGAAGCTTTTCATATCAAAAGATAAAGAAAGACGAGGGTCACGGAAAATTTTCAGTGACGGTAGAGAAGGAAGGGGAAGCTTTTCAGAGCAAAAGATGAAGAAGACAGACACGTTGAAAGCGGAGAAATGAACTACGAGATGCCAAACGGATTTTCAAACCGTAATTTGATTTAACACGTGGAATCATATTTTGAGTGTCCTATCTAAACGTCAAGCGGGAATTCACCTGTTGAAAGTTAATTTGAAAATACAACCAAACACAGCCTAAGTTTTTAAAAAAAATAATTGAGTAATCCTACTAATACCATTAATTTATCTCTTTACACTTTTTATATGAGATTTTTTTTTTTTTTTTTTTTGTGATTCTATTTATACACCACTAATATTCTCAGTACATACTATTACTTAATACACACACAAAATAATTTTTAGGGTTTAAAAATATGGTGATTCTACTTACACCATTATTTAACTTCTTTACACTCTCCATCTCATTACACCACTCAAAAAAAACGTAATTCTCATTACACTCCCAATATATTACCAAAACTAACCCTAAATTAACTATTTCATCTCTTTACACCACTAATTTTGATAGCACGGTACTAAACAATTTACATTATTTCGGTATTATGCTGTCGGAAAAAATAGATCTCTTCAGCATTTTGTTGCTATACATTTACAAAGACAATTTCTTCCAAACAATGATTTTTTAATTTGTGGTGGGCCTGTTCGGTAATACAACGCTAATTAATTTGAATTACTCCAATGTCATGTTACCGGACAATATTTTTTTTTCCAGCATTATGTTGTCGTCCAATTAGATGATAACAATAAATTAATTTGGGTCACTTGTGAAGTACATGTTCAATGATACATTGATATACAAATGGGATTACTCTAGTGTTATGTTGCCAAACTACAATAGAGTTGTCTAAGCCTCCGTCACTGTACATTGAAAGATTTTACTTTTTTCTTCAAGCATCCATAAAAAAATTCATAAATTAAACATGTTATCACAATTCGTCTTGGTAATTTGTAGGTAATTTTTTTCCCCTTAATAGAAATAGACATCCACACTTTTTAGAACCTGTCAACCTTAATCATTCCCCTTTGATCTTCTTGTTGTCTCTATAGTAACCACTTCTTTTACAAGCAAGTGTAAGTCTTTGTTTTCTGCTATGGTCTCCCGCATTTGATATCTTTATAACATTGACAAATCCAGTCTTTTTCCTAACGTCAGAAGCCCATGTAATTAATGCATCACGACCACTAAAAATCTAAAGATAATAAATACATTTATATGTCAAATTATTAATAAAACTCAATAAAATTAAAAATAAAAATAAAAATCTTATTCATAAAAAAAACTTAACAAGCATTGTCTGTAATAAATTCAAGACTAGAGTCCACTAATATTGTAGTATTTGCGTTGTTGCAATGAGTATAAGTATAATTCTTCCAGGCAAAAAAAAAATATATAAAATATAAAAAAATGAAACTGAAAATACATGGTAATGAAAAGCCGAACAAATTAAAAAAATTCGGTTTGGGGTTACCAGAAATGTATATTTTTATTCGGTAGTTGGTTACCAAACTTATATTTTGTGTTCAGCAATGTGATGACGGACTATTTTATTTTGTTCGATTTCAACCCTAAGCCCCTGGGGTTGGGTTGTGACACAATAAGTATAAGTATAATCTTTTTAGGCAAAAAAATAAAAAAAATAAAAAAATTGAAACTGAAAATACATGGTAATGAAAAGCCGAACAAATTAAAAAAATTCGGTTTGGGGTTACCAGAAATGTATATTTTATTCGGTAGTTGGTTACCAAACTTATATTTTGTGTTCAACAATGTGATGGCGGACTATTTTATTTTGTTCGATTTTGAACCACCGAACGAAAGTCGAACACCAGTCCAAAAAAATGAAACAAAAACTTACCAAATAAAAAAAAAAACTCACCATTTCATTTTTTTGATGATTCTTCACCATCGTTTCTTCATCAATTGCTTTCTTTAATGATCAAAATGTAAGAATATCCATAAAGTGGCCCATATGCCACATGTTTGTTTGTTTTATTTATTTATATTATATATGTTTATTATATACATTTAATTGATTTAATGACCAATGGGTAACTGTCACGACCCAAACCCGACCCTATGGGTT